GTCTTTATTTGGTACATATTATATGCAATGAGCATTGAAATGTCCGTGAGATGGAAGAAAAGTTTCATGTACAACTTGTAACTCTTACAAAGCCAATCTGCATGCCACATTTGTCAACCAGACGCATGTTTTGTGCATAATCAATCACTGTCACTGGTTTTCGAATATGTTCATTAGTCAGCCTATCAACTTTGCTACTGTCTTGCATTTTGTTAGGGTGAATGGTTGTCAACAGTGTGACATCTCGTTTGTCATGCCACTGTAATGCCATGATGTCATTGGCAGTAAACACCTGCACCTCACCAGCACGAATCCCTGCGTTGAACCTGGGCATATGTTTACTATTAAAACATACTGTGCCACACACATCTGTCATGTTCACTCACAAGAAATCACTGAGTAAAGGGCTTGTGTACCAATTATTGGTATATAATGTATGCCCCTTACCAAGATAAGGTGCCATCATGCTTCTAACTATGTCACCTGAGATACCCAGCAACATCCTGACATCTTACAGTGTTTTACTTCCCGTGTATACAATTATATCTAATTCCAGGCCACTGTCACAGTCACAGAGTACAAACAGTTTTATACCAATAGCGTTTACCTCTTAGCCTCAGTATATACGCTTTAATGATAGTCTACCTTTGAACAAAAAGACTCGTCAGTTATAAGAAATTCTTGAATGGATAAAAGTACATGTTGAACTTTCTTTCGATGCATAAAAAACATTTCTAGTCTTGTAATTACATTCACTTCTGTCAAGGGCTGGTTTGTGAGAAGTGCACATACCTAATAATGAAACCCTGTTCACTGGGATGATTTCACTGAAGGCCGGGTACAAATTAGCCAATCTGTGGACCAGTATGATTTTATATTATGCTTATAGACATGAGGCATAAGCATTATTGTTGCAAAAAGCAAATACATTTCAGCAACAGTTCTCTTTCCACCAGTGTAGTCTTCACTGTGGTGATATGATCGTATTTGCCATGGTGTACTCAAAGTACTTATTACTTTCCCTGACAATAATTTCAATCAGTGGCTGGTCAAAGAATAGTTCAAAGAATTCTAGTTAATTTGCAGTGTTTCCAAGGGAAAAAGCTGGTAGAATTCCACTTTGAGAGTCATCAAACTGATGGTGATTGGGAATACAATTGGCATTATGCTGCCAATCATTGATGCAGTTTGCTGGTGGATACTGAACATCATAAGCCAGTTGTGGTTGTGGTGTGGTGGTGGATGATGCTCTTCTATGTCCTGGATCTGATGAGTCAGTGGCGTGGGTCTCTGCCTAGGCTGGTGAGTCATGTGTGACCGTGGCACCATCACCACCACCACCACTATCACCACCATTACCACCACCTACTGACGCCTGTGGTCTGTCCATGCCAAGTGTAGCCACATAATCCTCACTTTCACTGTCTATTCCTGGTGTAGGGCCTTGGGATGTGCTCCAGGATGTACTTCAGGATGTACTCCAGGATGTACTCTGTCCCCTTGGCAATGCATTTGGAACACTACCCGAGCACATGCAGTGGTGTATGTACTGACGCTTCACTGGTGAATATGATTCCTCACTATCACTACTCGAATGGTCATCAAGAGCAATAAAATCAACATTCACATCACTATCATCACTATTACTCAAGTCTGAGGCTTGGCCACGTGAAAATATTAGTTTTCTCATGCGACTAGGTACAACTGAACGTGACCGAGATGTGCCCACTCCAGAGGTAGAAGGTTGAGGAGTGTCAGGATTTTCTGCATTATTTTCGATATCCTGGTCATTGCTTTCGGTCACTAATCGATCAGAACCATAGAATTCTTCTTCATTTCCACTAACATAAGATTCAAAACTATCAGTTAGGAAGAGGCGAGTCCCAGTTCACCTCAGAGTGAGAGCTGCCTTGCTGCGAGGCATGGTGAACAAAGCTTACTGAGGCGACGTTCCCACAATGCCATGCAGGCACCTAGAATTTTTGTTTATGGTGCTCGCGCACCACACAGACCCATTCTCTTAGATGTAGGCCTACCAGCCTTCTTGCGCTAAATTTGAGGCCGCTAGAATTTTGGCATAGTTCTACGGTTTGGACCCACAACTCAAAGCCGTAAAACTATGGCACAGACCCTGAAAGTGTTAAAAGGGGAGTGTTAATGGAACATGACATCAATGAATCCTTGGTGTTTGTTACGCTGTTTGTTCTAGCTGGTGCTCAATTGAACTGGTGCTCCCACAAGGTACAAAGTGGTCCCAGATTTTTATAATACAGTAGGACCCCACTTACATGGCTGGTTAGGTTCCAGGCTACCGCCGTAAAGCGGAAACCGCCGTAAAGTGGAACACTTTTTTTTTCCACTTACAAATGCATACAAACACTAGATAACAAGTTTACACTAACATATATTAAGTTAGCAATAGAACCAGGCATCAAAAAACAGTAAAAAAGTACAATACACACATAGTGCACTCATTACTTACCTTAAAATATTTATAGTCTTAATCTAGGGTGAGACAGGTAGTATTTATTGTAAGAAATCAAGTGTGGTATGTATGGTAGTCAGCCAGACCATACCCCCGGCCGGGATTGAACCCGCGGTCATAGAGTCTCAAAACTCCAGCCCGTCGCGTTAGCCACTAGACCAGCTAGCCACAATAAGATTCATCCAACTAGGTATATTTCTACACCATAGGAAGGTTAGCACAGGCACCTCTGTGACCACAAATGCAAGTTTTTACAGACGAATCTCCAGCTAGCGTGGCCGTGACGAACTCTAGCTCAAGTCCCTTCACTGCCATCAACATGACTCGAGAAAAACGTAATGACACGTTTGCAATCGTGTCATTACGATTTCTTGAGTCATGTTGAGGGCAGTGAAGGGACTTGAGCTAGAGTTTGTCACGGCCACGCTAGCTGGAGATTCGTCTGTAAAAACTTGCATTTGTGGTCACAGAGGTGCCTGTGCTAACCTTCCTATGGTGTAGAAATATACCTAGTTGGATGAATCTTATTGTGGCTAGCTGGTCTAGTGGCTAACGCGACGGGCTGGAGTTTTGAGACTCTATGACCGCGGGTTCAATCCCGGCCGGGGGTATGGTTTGTTTGCAATCGTGTCATTACGATTTCTTGAGTCATGTAGTCAGCCAGGCTTCCATATCAGGCCACCCCACCCACACATACAATTCTATGATATTTAAGCATCCCAGAGCGATAAAATGTATATACAGTTCACTCATTACTTACCTTAAAATATAGGGTGAGATGAGTAGTATTTTATTGTAAAAAATCAAGTGTGGTTTGTATGGTAGTCAGCCGGGCTACCATACCAGGCCAACCCACCTACACCTAATATTCTATTACATTTAAGCATCCCAGAGCGATAAATGTATATACAGTTCACTCTTATTACTTTAAATATTTGTAGTCTTAATGTAGGGCAGGAGTAAGTAAATGGGGATAAACGAATAATGAGAAGAAAAAGATGAGTGCATGAGAGAGTACAGGCGCAAGTTATTTTAAACAACCAGGCAAGGAAAGTTTTGTAAAGAAAGTTACACGTCTGTTTGTGTACAGTTCTTTTTGTGTAAGGTTGTCTCTACATTGATACGGTAAATAAATAAAGAAGAACCTCCCATTCTCATGTAACATCATTTTGAGAAGAAATGTGCCCCTGAGTGAAGGGCAATGGAAATAAGTCACTCTGACTTTTTTTGGGGTTATCCTAGGTTCTCTACACATATGTTTTTTATATGTATGATAATTATTAACTGTAATTTGTGTATTCCTGAATAAACTTATTTAAATAATAGAAGGAATAATTTTCTACAGTTACCCCCAGTAACACTTTTCTCTTAGTTAGATTAGAGAAAATGTTATTCTTGGGTGTCACTTGTAAAAGTTATTTGGCTACCACATCCATATTTATGTTTATTTATTCTTTTTGGGGGGTGTATTTATCTTTCTTTTATGTTATGTATCGTGTTTATTATATAATTTTGAAAAAAATATCATGGATGGATTAATGAAAATTTTGTATTAGCGTAATATACAACATTTAATGAGACTCGGTGATTATTATTATTATTATTATTATTATTATTATTATCATCATTTCTAATATGGCGTCACTTGTGCAAGTCGTCTGCTACCACATCTCATATTTATGTTTATTTATTCTATTGGGGGGTGTATTTTAAATCTTTTTATGTTACGTATTGTGTTTATTATATAATTTTGAAAAAATATCATAGATGGATTAATGAAATGTGTATTTAACGTAATATACGACTTTTAAAAATGAACTTGATGATTTATTATCATTACTAAATGACGTCTGGAGACATAAGACACTCTTACTGATTTTAATGTGTACCTGCATGCCAGCACAGTATGTAAGTTTATTTTTGTACAGGTATACAAAGTATAATTATCAGAGTATATATAAAATATGAAATAACTTTTAAAAAAAATTTGAAATTTTGGAGTTTCCAGACAAAATGGAGAGACTTAGTGCTTACTGAGCTCACGAAGAATGTAAACAAACAGGGTGGGGCGCGGTGACCGTATTAGAAAGTCAGGTGGGGGGAGCCGTATAGCGAGTTTTGGTCATAATTTGAAATGACCGTATTAGCGGAATGCCGTAAAGTGAAACGCCGTAAAGCGGGGCCCTGCTGTACTATGCACACCAAGTGTTACAACCCATTCTATGCTGATCAGGCATCTCAGGCCATTCATGCCAAATTTGGAGCAGGAAAAATAAAACGTAGATCTACGTTTGGAGTGCTAGCTGTAAGAACGTAGATCTACGTTTGGACAGTTAACGGGTTAAGTAGTGCGTGAGCATTACGATTAGTCTGCCCAAAACTCTCAGGCATGTTAGTGGCTTTCTTTGTACTCGACATTATTTTACAACATGGAAATCTTACATTGTATACTGTGCACAGCACAGTACATGTATTCATATTTGTAGTACATGTTGTGCTTTCATTTGTTCTACAGATTATAGTCATGGCTTTGGTGGGAAGTTTGGCGTCCAGGCTGACCGCCAGGACAAGTCTGCCTCAGGATGGGACCACATTGAAAAAGTTGATAAACATGAGAGTCAGAAAGGTAAATAATAACACCTGGTTTATCTAAGTTTCTTCTAATACTTTGTAGGTTCTTAACATTATATTGGAGTCCGTTGCTCTCTCTTATACAGATATTTCCATCTTCAATATTGTAACATATTATCAATTTTGTTATGGCTTTGTGATGTGTAAATGTTTATTTTGTGATTACCAGAGTATTAATGAAAGTTATTTAACTTTTTATGGATTGAGAAATTAAATATTTTTTTTTGTTTGGTTGCATATATCAGAAGAAACCAAATGCTGAATTACTTCTACTATAATAATTAATTACTCTCTTCTGGTTAGGATATTTTTAGTCTGTTTACATCTATGATTTTTACCACAGCAGTTTTCCAATAAGGTCATGATATCTCAAAGTAGAAAACACATTTACCATCACTCAGTTTTCTCTATTCACAACATACCTTGTCAGACTCCGGTATACATGTTCATTTGTAAGTGTCCTATAGAAGTTAAATTGATTTTGAAAGCCTTGTGAGTGTTAATAAAAGCTTGCCTATATTATGAGTAACTTGTGTGAAGCTGCTAGCTTCTTGCAGTCCATATATTAAGCTTGCTTGTGTGTATGCTTTTGAGACTCACTTTATCCCAGTTTTAAATTAGTACTCCTGTACTCTCAGTTGCTACTTGCATTGTTGAGGATCGGTTCGTACACAGAGCATTATATGATCCACATGGGTTTGACACATTTTTGCAATTATAACAAGTACAAGATTGCTAGACATTAGGGATGGGACAGTACCAAAATTTTGGCCAATGCATATACTCAGTTTTAGGAAGCTGCTGATACTGAAATCATCAAAACTAGCTGATACCCACCAATACTGATACCACCAAAAATTAGCCAATACCCTCCTGTACTTATATTTTGGCAATCCCCTAGTATACAGAAATCCTGGAAATATAAACACATATGCAGTATAATGTGATCCTATATTGACTACATTTCGCCCACACAGTGGGCTTTTTCAAGTCACAAACGGAACTGTTTGTGACTTGAGAAAGCCCACTGTGTGGGCGAAACGTAGTCAATAAAGGATCACATTATACTGCATATGTGTTTATATTTCCATTGTGTCGGTATTTTATACCATTTATTTCCATACAGAAATCTTGCAGACAGGTACTGCTGTCCTGTCATATGAGTGGAGTGTGAAATATTATTTTGTTAAAAGTTTGACACTTGTGTACTTGCAGTATGCATCCACTTAACCTTCCTGTGTGTTTCATGATAGATCTTATTCCTGTGATAAAGACAGGATCTTATAATGCATTTACGTTAGAATATTAGTCATATTTATATCTTAAAATTATTAGCACATACCACAACCTGTGTTTAACATGCTGAAGTTGATTTTTTTTATTTTGGCTTAATTCTCAGTCAGAAAATTTTGTACTACATGGGAGCTCAGCTCCCATGTAGTACATGTAGTATATTGTACTACATGGAAGCTTGGCTCCCATGTAGTACAATGCTTCATCATAGCCAGTCAGGATCTTTTCTTTCATATTAATAAACACTGAGGTATAACATATACTTGAAAAAATACCCAAAAGTGTATTGCATAAAATAACATTCTTTGTAAAATATATTACGTAAAATAATAAATTAGTTTAACAGTATGATGCTCTTTTGTTTTGTCATTGGGATTGTGGATTTTGTGTGTGTGTGTGTGTGTGTGTGTGTGTGTGTGTGTGTGTGTGTGTGTGTGTGTGTGTGTGTGTGTGTGTGTGTGTGTGTTTGTGTGTACACGTGTGTGCACAGAGAGAGAGAGAGAGAGAGAATGAGAGAGAGAATGAGAGAGAGAATGAGAGAGAGAATGAGAGAGAGAGAGAGAGAGAGAGAGAGAGAGAGAGTAGGTAGGTGTGTCCAGGAGCTGTGACTGAACATCAGAGTTACCTGCTCTTATGATCAGTACAAGTGAGACATTCATCAACAACACATCATAACTCTGCTATCTCAGGAAGTGACAGTCTTATTAACCTTTAAACTGTCCAAACGTAGATCTACGTTCACTCACGTAGTGCTCCTAACATAGATCTACATTTGGACAGTTTAAGGGTTAAAATTCCTGTATTAATTTACACATTAATCAAAACTCTGCCATTGGTGTTCAAGATATTCTATAACATTGACATCTGTAGTTAAGAGCAATGTAAGTAGCAGTTGATATGTATTTCAAGTATGAGTGTATGTTTAAGGCTATGATACATTGAGGTAGGTGTTGTTGTGTGATTGTTGTGATGCACTTACTAACACTCACTCATGTTTTATACTAATGTTTACAAAATATATATTCAAGTCAAGCAGTTGTTCAAATTCACTTGTATATTTTAGACTTTATAAATCAAACAAACTTTTTTTTTGTACAAGTTAATTTTATACAGTGGTACCTTGACTAATCAGTTTAATTCATTCTGTGACCCAGCTCATAACTCGGTTTGCTCGTGTATCAAATCAATTTTCCTCATTAAAATTAATTGAAATGCCATTAATCCATTCCAGCAGAATTCCTGGCTCTCAGGAGGCAGGAGAAAATACTTCAATATAACACTAATATCAACTCTATGGCTTATTTATTTATCACAAGTGATCTAATATGACATAATAAACAATATAAATAACATAGAAACATGATATATACTCTAGAATGAATAAAATATGTCATGTGACAAGTGGTGGCAGCCACTCCCAAGGTAAAAATAATTATTGCTCTGACCATATCTTCCCATTCTTGCCCTCCTGAGGCCTTATTATAAGAGAAAACAGAGTGTTTATGAGGCTAACTGCACTAGATCACCAGTTTCATAAGGAAAACACTGAAACAAAATGATTTTCTCAGAATTTTTTTTTCAAGAGTCAGGAGACTGGCCTACGTTTTGGATCAATATCTCAGAAGTAAATCAGCATAAATGCCTCATGCCTTCTCGCAGAGAAGGCATGAGGCAAGAAATACATACTACGCTTGTATTGTCTCACCAGATCGACTACACGCACACCTCGCTAGTGTTTTTCTATGATTTCATGCTTTAATTCAATGGACATCATCCTCCTCTTCTCAGCACTGTCCTTTGCACTTACTTTTGTAGGATCCATGGTTAGTAAAGAAAAATTTGGCAAAATAACTGCACAAAATGCAAGCCAACACAAGAGAGATGCTTCCACAGCTAGGTAACCATGTGCATTGTTGTGGCTTTTGCCGTGCCAACTAGTGGCATCGTATCTGAAGCTTGCTCGTAACTCAGATTTTGGCTTGCATTTCAAAGCAAAAATCGACTGAGCGATGGCTCATAGCTTGGAAAACTCGTAAGTTGGGGCACTTGTCAGTCAAGATTCCACTTTGGATTTTCAAATATTGACCACTGATTGATAATATAGTATTATTAAATAACTATAACATTGGTAATAAATATAGCTTTAATTTGATTATGATAATACTGCTTCCCTTGAGTGTATCTGGAGATATTACCAGTTAGTGTGTAAGATATTCTCAGCTTTGTGTTTTTTTACCTTGCTTTACTTGTTTGAATATGCTTGCCACACATAGACTACTCCATGGGCTTCGGCGGCAAGTTTGGCGTTCAGAAGGACCGACAAGATAAGTCAGCTGCTGGCTGGGACCACATAGAGAAGGTGGATAAACATGAGAGTCAAAAAGGTGCGAGAACTATCATGGTAGTCTGAAATACTTATTAAACTGTTATCTCCTTTACTTATGTTGTTCTTTCATTGGTCTCTTTTACTACTAGCAAATATGAGCCGAGGGTCTTCTAATATTACCATCACAAGTTTTTAACATGATAAACTAAGCATGATTCACTGTATGAGTGATCATGTTGGGATTGTAACTACATTTAGTCATTGTGTGATTGTTCAACCATATATGTAGCTGTTTCCAGACTTCTGCCTTATTCATTTGCGTCTGTTAACTTCTCTACCTTTGTGTTTGTGTCTCATAACTCATAGTAGGTTGGTAGACAGAAACCACCCAGGGTCGTACTACCATCCTGCCAGATGACTGTGAAACAGAAACCTGTAATTGTTTTGCATGATGGTAGGATTGCTGGTGTTTTTTTCTATCTCATAAACACGCCCATGCATATATATATATATATATATATATATATATATATATATATATATATATATATATATATATCTATCTATCTAGGTTTTTCTCCTTTTTCTAAATAGCTCTTGTTCTTCTTTATTTCTTCTATTGTCCATGGGGAAGTGGAAAAGAATCTCTCCTCTGTAAGCCATGCGTGTCGTATGAGGCGACTAAAATGCTGGGAGCAATGGGCTAGTAGCCCCTTCTCCTGTAGACATTTACTAAAAAATAGAAGAAGAAAAACTTTATAAAACTGGGATGGTTGAATGTGCGTGGATGTAGTGCGGATGACAAGAAACAGATGATTGCTGATGTTATGAACAAAAAGAAGTTGGATGTCCTGGCCCTAAGCGAAACAAAGCTGAAGGGGGTAGGGGAGTTTTGGTGGGGGGAAATAAATGGGATTAAATTTGGAGTATCTGAGAGAGTTAGAGCTAAGGAAGGGGTAGCAGTAATGTTGAAGGATCAGTTATGGAAGGAGAAAAGAGAATATGAATGTGTAAATTCAAGGATTATGTGGATTAAAGTAAAGGTTGGATGCAAAAAGTGGGTCATAATAAGCGTGTATGCACCTGGAGAAGAGAGGAATGTAGAGGAGAGAGAGAGATTTTGGGAGATGTTAAGTGAATGTATAGGAACCTTTGAACCAAGTGAGAGAGTAATTGTGGTAGGGGACCTGAATGCTAAAGTAGGAGAAACTTTTAGAGAGGGTGTGGTAGGTAAGTTTGGGGTGCCAGGTGTAAATGATAATGGGAGCCCTTTGATTGAACTTTGTATAGAAAGGGGTTTAGTTATAGGTAATTCATATTTTAAGAAAAAGAGGATAAATAAGTATACAAGACATGATGTAGGGCAAAATGACAGTAGGTTGTTGGATTATGTATTGGTAGATAAAAGACTGTTGAGTAGACTTCCATATGTACATGCTTATAGAGGGGCCACAGATATATCAGATCACTTTTTAGTTGTAGCTACACTGAGAGTAAAAGGTAGATGGGATACAAGGAGAATAGAAGCATCAAGGAAGAGAGAGGTGAAGGTTTATAAACTAAAAGAGGAGGCAGTTAGGGTAAGATAGAAACAGCTATTGGAGGATAGATGGGCTAATGAGAGCATAGGCAATGGGGTCAAAGAGGTATGGGTAGGTTTAAAAATGTAGTGTTAGAGCATTCAGCAGAAGTTTGTGGTTACAGGAAAGTGGGTGCGGGAGGGAAGAGGAGCGAGTGGTGGAATGATGATGTAAAGAGAGTAGTAAGGGAGAAAAAGTTAGCATATGAGAAGTTTTTACAAAGTAGAAGTGATGCAAGGAGGGAAGAGTATATGGAGAAAAAGAGAGAGGTTAAGAGAGTGGTGAAGCAATGTAAAAAGAGAGCAAATGAGAGAGTGGTTGAGATGTTATCAACAAATTTTGTTGAAAATAAGAAAAAGTTTTGGAGTGAGATTAACAGGTTAAGGAAGCCTAGAGAACAAATGGATTTGTCAGTTAAAAATAGGATAGGAGAGTTATTAAATGGAGAGTTAGAGGTATTGGGAAGATTGAGGGAATATTTTGAGGAATTGTTAAATGTTGATGAAGATAGGGAAGCTGTGATTTCGTGTATAGGGCAAGGAGGAATAACATCTTGTAGGAGTGAGGAAGAGCTAGTTGTGAGTGTTGGGGAAGTTCGTGAGGCAGTAGGTAAAATGAAAGGGGGTAAGGGAGCCGGGATTGATGGGATAAAGATAGAAATGTTAAAAGCAGGTGGGGATATAGTTTTGGAGTGGTTGGTGCAATTATTTAATAAATGTATGGAAGAGGGTAAGGTACCTTAGTATTGGCAGAGAGCATGCATAGTTCCTTTGTATAAAGGCAAAGGGGACAAAAGAGAATGCAAAAATTATATGGGGATAAGTCTGTTGAGTATACCTGGTAAAGTGTATGGTAGAGTTATTATTGAAAGAATTAAGAGTAAGACAGAGAATAGGATAGCAGATGAACAAGGTGGCTTTAGGAAAGGTAGGGGGTGTGTGGACCAGGTGTTTACAGTGAAACATGTAAGTGAACAGTATTTAGATAAGGCTAAAAAGGTTTTTGTGGCATTTATGGATTTGGAAAAGGCGTATGACAGGGTGGATAGGGGGCAGTGTGGCAGATGTTGCAGGTGTATGGTGTAGGAGGTAGGTTACTGAAAGCAGTGAAGAGTTTTTACGAGGATAGTGAGGCTCAAGTTAGAGTATGTAGGAAAGAGGGAGATTATTTCCCAGTAAAAGTAGGCCTTAGACAAGGATGTGTGATGTCACCGTGGTTGTTTAATATATTTATAGATGGGGTTGTAAGAGAAGTAAATGCGAGGGTCTTGGCAAGAGGCATGGAGTTAAAAGATAAAGAATCACACATAAAGTGGGAATTGTCACAGTTGCTCTTTGCTGATAACACTGTGCTCTTGTGAGATTCTGAAGAGAAGTTGCAGAGGTTGGTGGATGAATTTGGTAGGTATGCAAAAGAAGAAAATTAAAAGTGAATACAGGAAAGAGTAAGGTTATGAGGATAACAAAAAGATTAGGTGATGAAAGATTGGATATCAGATTGGAGGGAGAGAGTATGGAGGAGGTGAATGTATTCAGATATTTGGGAGTGGACGTGTCAGCGGATGGGTCTATGAAAGATGAGGTGAATCATAGAATTGATGAGGGGAAAAGGGTGAGTGGTGCACTTAGGAGTCTGTGGAGACAAAGAACTTTGTCCAGAGGGCTGAGGAAGGGTTGTTGAGGTGGTTCGGGCATGTAGAGAGAATGCAGCGAAACAGAATGACTTCAAGAGTGTATCAGTCTATAGTGGAAGGAAGGCGGGGTAGGGGTCGGCCTAGGAAAGGTTGGAGGGAGGGGGTAAAGGAGGTTTTGTGTGGGAGGGGCTTGGACTTCCAGCAGGCATGCTTGAGCGTGTTTGATAGGAGTGAATGGAGACAAATGGTTTTTAATACTTGACGTGCTGTTGGAGTGTGAGCAAAGTAACATTTATGAAGGGATTCAGGGAAACTGGCAGGCCGGACTTGAGTCCTGGAGATGGGAAGTACAGTGCCTGCACTCTGAAGGAGGGGTGTTAATGTTGCAGTTTAAAAACTGTAGTGTAAAGCACCCTTCTGGCAAGACAGTGAAGGAGTGAATGATAGTGAAAGTTTTTCTTTTTCGGGCCACCCTGCCTTGGTGGGAATCGGCCAGTGTGTTAATAAAAAAATAATGAAAACTCTCACACTGTCTGTCCTTGTCTGCTCTATGGCATCTTCTAGTGTCATTAGGTCTGGTTCCTTTAGTGTCTCATTTTCCTTAGCTGTGGAACCTGATGTAGTTCAACCATATTTACTTGTTTTAGTTTCTAGATATGCCATATCAAGCTTGGATTTCATGCTAGTACTGCATCTCTATTATAGGTTTAAACGTGTTGTAAGGAAGTTTGAGAATATTTCTTTTTCAAAGCTCTTGAATGCTGCTCATTGGTTCATTTACTACAAGTTGTGACAATTCTATATCACAACAATCTAATACTTTGCTTTTTAGTACCATCATTCAGTGACATTACTGAAATATTCTTAGCCCTTTCGGTGTCAGTCCCATAATATTACGGCCTTGAAGTCAGTGTCGGTCCTGTAATACTACGTCAAAATTTTAGTGGCTTGAAATCTGGCAGGAGAAAGCTGTAGGTCTACATGTGAGAGAATGAGTCTGCATGGTCAGTGTGGGCAGCATAAAAAAATCCTGCAGTACGCAGTGCATAATGAGAAAAAAAAACTGTGACTGTGTTTTTGGTTTAAATCGGCGACTTTGTGGTGTATTGTTGTATGGTTTTATGGTTGTATTCTCGTTTTTTTTTTTTTTTGTCTCATTTGATAGAATGGAAGATATATAGTTTACAGACTAAAGATATATGGTTTTACAGACTAAAAGTACCCTGAAATTGAGCTCAACCTAGTGGAAATGTGCGATTTTTGCTGATGTTCAAGAGTAAACATATCACATCATGCATCCAGTACACATTGGCTGTAACTGTAATTACTACACAGCAGAACAATCAAATGCACTTCTCAGAGCCAACAAAAACATAAATGTCTTTAACTAAAATTTATCAGATCTTTAAGTAAACATTATGATGACCTTATAGCATTATTAAATTCCCTGCATTCCAGTATATCCATCATTACTCTCACCGAAACCTGGCTAAAGCCTGATACTACAGATGTCTATGCCATTCCTGGTTACACAGCCATACACAACTGTAGGCCAGACCAACAAAGGGGTGGCACAGCTATATACTACTCAGACCCAACTAGAATGTATCACTAATACTTGCAAAAGGGGAAATGAACATGAGGAATATATAATAGCTAAATTCAAATCTAAATATCTACAAAAACCTCTCACAGTGATAAACATCTACAGAGTACCACAGTCAAACATTAGCCATTTTAGTGACAACCTAGGAAGTATGATAACTGATGCACGCATGAACAAAGATCACTTGCTACTCTCAGGTGACTTCAATATAAATCTCCTGCAAGACCAGGACCCACACGTTACTGAATTCACAAACACTATGAGTAACTGCATGTTGCTACCAGCAGTAACAAAACCTACAAGAGTTTCGTGAATTTCGACCTTCGGCGGGCTCTCTGGAACAGATTAATCACGAAACTTGGGGGTCCACTGTACCTGGCTTGGGTTAGCCATATATGATTTTTTGTAAATATTCGATTCCCAGCCAGGGTAGAAACATTAGGCGTGTTTCTTTACACCTGTTGTCTATGTTTACCCAGTAGTAAATGGGGTACCTGGGTGTTAGCCGACTAGTGTGGGTGTTATCCTGGGAC